GGCGTAGCGCTGGCCCCGCCCCTGTTGCGATCGGTGAGCGCTGATTGGCTGAGCCGGGAGCCGTACCGAGCTCACCCCGGGATGGCGGCGGCGGGGCTGGGCCGGGCTCCGGTGAGTGTCCCTGTGTCCGTGTCCCTSTGTCCSTGTCCCTCCCTTCCTTCCTCTGCCCGTGCCCCGCTGTGTCCCCCCGCTGCCGGCAAGCACGGTCCGCGCCCCCTCAGGGTGAGAGTACACGGGCCCGGAGGCGGTGCCCACTGGCCCCTCACAGAAAGTGTCCCGTGTCCGGGGCCTCAGTGTGGCGGAAGGCGCCCTATCCCCACCTCATCCCTGTGTCCACCCTTGATAGCCCCTGTGCCGGTGTCGGGGAAGGCATTTCCCCTCCACTTGCTGCCGGTGGCTCCGGTGCAGGGGAAGGGTAGCTCCCGTTTCCAGCCCTCCTTCCCCCGGTTCCCTCCCATCTCCCGGTTTTCTCTCCTTCCCAGTACTCCTCCTGGTGCTTSCACTCCTCACAATGTCTCCCAGCCACAGGCAGTCCCCCAGCTCCCCTCGGTACCGATGAAAGGCAGCCCCCGTTTCCATCGCCCCATCCTCCGGTTTCTCCCCCTTCCAAATCCTCCTCCTCCCGCTGATGGCAGCCCCTGTTTCCATCCCYCATCCTCCGGTTTTCCCCGGTGCCCCCCTCCCCCAGCGATTGCAGCCCTCCCCTCTCCCATCTTTCCTCCGGTGCTGAGCCCCCCTGCYTCCTTCTCAGTGATCCCTGGTGCCGGTGATCAGCCTTCCCTCTCCTTCCTGCCGCTCCCTCTCCAGGTGAAAGCAGCCCTTCCACCCCTGTGTGCATATCTGGGGACCCTCTAGGGAGTTCCCCGCCCCCCGCGTGTTTCTCAGGGCTGTTTTGCTCCCCAGCTGTTGCTGCGCTACAGCTCCTGGCGCAACTTCACCTCTCAGACGGACGGGGAATCGCGCCTGGCCCGGGTGCTGCGGGAGAAGTTTCCCCGGGCATCAGCCATCAAGGTCGTGGATATCTCAGGTATGGGAAAAGCTCTTCATTGTCCTAAAGCACTCCTRTGCTTTTGCAGGGCAGGAGCTGAGTCAGTCTCCAGTCCTCCCTYGCTGTGAGGATGCCCAGAAGGATCAGGAGAGGGTGGGCAAGGCACAGAGATCCCTTACTGTTGGTCAAGTGTTGACTTTAATTTCTCAGGAGGCTGCGGTGCCATGTATGAAATTCACATTGAATCGGAGGAGTTCCGGGAGAAGCGGACGGTGCAGCAGCACCAGATGGTCAACCAGGTGAGGGATCTGGTGGCAGCCCTGGCAATGTGTGTGAGGGAATAGGAGCAGCACTCCCAGCTGGGCCCTCAGAGTTTTAAACTCTCCGGTCCTCACTGCATGTAATGGGCAGAGCAGGGATGACAAATCCCCACCTATTTGGAGTGGGGCTGGGAGCTGTATCAGCACCAAATGGACATAGGCTTCAAGGATTAGTGSGTTTAGAGCTTCTTCCTTCACAGAGGTCCATTCCCAAGCTGTTTTTTTCCATGTTACATCAATACAGTGGTGGAGAATCTGGAATGTGTTTTCTCCAAGAAACTCAAAGAGTGCTGGAACTCTTTTTTAACTCCCTGGCATTTTTACCTCTAGGGAGGTCAAAGTTCCAGAGGGAATACACAATGCTTCTCCTTCCCACCATATACCTGGGAATTAAACCTTGGCAGAAGGAAACTCTACCTTTTCTGTGGAAATCTGAAGCTCCAGACTCACCAATGTAGTGATACTTTTAAGTCTGGCCCACTGTGGTGACATCAGAGCTGCCAGTCAATACATCAGTGTATTGATACACCTTAGTCCTTACACTGTATACTTCTTTTTTCCCCCTCCCTTCTCAGTGCAAAGCAGTACAGCCAGCCTTTCCCAGTAAATTCCATGAATGTGTGTGCTCAGCCCTGGGAGCTCTGGGGGCTCTGGTGGGGGATTGTGGGCACAGACGATGCCCACGTGAAAGTGAGAGACGATTAGGTGCCATGGTGCCTTAGACTATAGCACTTCCCTCTGTAATGAAGTGTAGGCCTTTTCTGSCTCTCCAAGAAACAGCACAGCCCTTTCTTCTTTCCCTCATTATTGAGGAAACAGTGGACCTTGTCCTAATAATGGGGTGATGAGTGTGCAGCACATAATTGTGGGACACTGTGAGTGCACAGAGACCCCTTGGGTGCCCAGCTGTGAGGGGTTCTGGCACAGCCCACCCTTCCTGATAATAACATCAGAATCACACACCAGGATCGGCTGAGTTGGAAGGTACCTACAAGGATCACACAGTCCAACTCCTGGYCCTGCAAACGACACCCCAAAACCCCACCCTGTCCCTAGGAATGCTGTCCAAACACTCCTGAGCTTTGGCAGCTTTGAGACATTCCCTGGGGAGCCTGTTCAGTGCCCGAGTACCTTCTGGGGGAAGAACATCACTGAGGTATTGTGCACGGTGCTGTCTGCAGGGTCCCCAACCTTGCAGGGCTCTTTGGTGTCTCTAGACCCCCTGCAACAGCCCTGCAGGATTTGGTTTGTGTGCACAGAACCTGGAGCATGACAACACAGCAGCACTGGGAATCCCACGTGTGACTGCCCAACAGCCACACTTTTTTTGATCTCAGTGTCTCGGCACCTCCAAACCAGGGAGACAGAGGGTGAAGCACCTGCTCACCTGCCTGCCCTGACCCAGAGCTGCCCCTGAAGGCTGTGTTTGGCTTGCAGGCCCTGAGCGAGGAGATCAAGCACATGCACGGTCTGCGCATCTTCACCTCCACCCCCAAAACCTGATGCTGCTCCACCAATAAAGTGCTCCAGGAGGTGCCCAGAACTGCTTCCCTGGGTATGAACTCCATCCAGTATTGTGTTTTCAATCAGGGGCCTGTGGGAGGGGTGAAGAAGAGGAGAAACCCCTCTTCCTCTGAAAGAAGAGCAGGAAAAAACTTTATTATTGCCTTGCCACACAGGAGGGTCCCTCCCTTGCCCCCCCTGCGTGGGACATTCCAGAGCTGCTCCTCCCACCCAGACACAGGGACAGCCCCCCCTTAGGCCAGGCACTTCTCCTCCTCACCCCCCCACTGCTGTTGCCATGGGGAGCTTAAGAGTCTGGGCCAAAATGCACCTCTTTTATCCAAAAAAAAAGCACTTCAAAAAATAAGCTGAGCCATTCTGGGCTTGCCCCAGTTGGGTGGCTCTCAGGCTGTAGAGGCCAGAGGGGAACTCTGGAAACAGAAATTAGCTGTGCGGCATCTGGAATGTTGCCCTGTGCAGAACAAAACCTGCTCCACCTCCACCCAGACCACAGTTGTGGCCAGACTTGAGCAAGAAAAGCCAACTGGGGACTGCACAGCAGGAGTGAGGCCACTCGGTGCCGTCCGGTGTCACTGAAGCCAAGCGCAGAGGTGGCTGAAGAAGAAGCAGAAAAGGAGTGGCCGAAAGGGTCCTCCCAGGTATGATTTATCTGTCCTTGGAGCCAAGCTTCTCAATCAGTTCATGCAGTGGAGCCAGCTCCCGCCTGTCAATCAGGTTGAATTCCTAGCAGGGGAAAAGGAGACACAAAAATTGAAGGTATTTCTTGAAGAGCTGCTGGAAAAAGTGTCACTCTGCATGTGCTGGGGAGGAACCATGAGCCAGCTACGGGGACAACCACAGAACAGAAGCCACCACCACTCCTTCTTGGGGTGAAATCCAAGCATTTCAGGGCAACAAAACTTCAGCCACGTTGCTGGGCACAGCAAGTCACAGAACAGGCTCAAAAGTACAAAAAGATGCTGGTGCTGCTCCTTCCAAGTTGATTCTTGAGCTACAAATCCTCTGAATTCTCCTCCAATTCTGGTTWTGTTGGCTGCAGTTGATATATTAAACCTGAGAGGGAGATTTGAGCATTTACAGCCAACTCAGCCTCACTTCCTGAAAAAAAAACCCACAAAAGCCCAACACCACGAAGGGCTCAGTTGGGTATGAAGGGGGAGCTGGATGTTAYCTCCCAGCAAATGCTGCAGCTGCAGATTTTCGAGGGGGTTCTTTAAATCCAACTGCCTTTAAAAGCCCACAAAGAATGTGAAACCCTGGAGGAAKCACCTGGCCCCAGACCCCCAGCTCACCTGCACGAAGAAGATAAAGTGCTTGAAGGAGGTGTTGAGATGGGCCTCCTCCTGCAGCCGCATCACTGAGTCRAAGTGTTGGTGGTAGATGTGGGCATAGACCCGGAACAGCCGCTTCAGGATAGTCTTTGCCACTGACATGAAGTTCTTGGGGAAGGGGACGCCTGGAATACACCAATATGAATGGATTAGAGTGTGGTTCAGCCAGGAGGTGCCATCCTGGGTCACACAGCTATACTTACCGATCTTGGAAGGGAAGAGAGTCTCGTCATCCAGCTGGTCCTGCACCCATGTCATCAAGTAATCAATGTACTTGGGAGCCGAGCACTTTATCGGTTTCTTGATGTTGGTGCCATCTGCCCAGTGGTACTCGTACCTGTGGGATAGGGGATTCAGCCCTGGCTCCCAGAGGAAAAACAGCATTTCAGGCCCTGTGACTTCCTCATCTCAGAAGCAACACCTGTATCACTTTTGGGGTGAGGACTGAGGAGAGCAGAACTTGGCCTTTTTGAGTTTTCCAAGCCCAACCCGACCATCAGTGCTGACCCCTCCAGCCATTTGCCTTAGGAGTATTGCCCTCAAAAATCACAGAATCATGGAATATGCTGATCCACTGGGATCATCAATCCAACCCGTGTCCCTGCACAGTCACATCACCAATCCCAGCCTGTGTGTGGGAGCATTGCCTAAACGCTCCTGGAGCTCTGGCAGCCATGCCTATTCCCTGGAGAGCCTGGGCAGTGCCCAAGCACTCTCTGGGGGAAGGACCTTTTCCTGATATCAAACCTAGATTCCCCCAAYACAGTTTTAGCTATTGCATCAGATCCTGTCCCAAGTCCCAGAGATCAGAGCTGCCCCTCTGCTGCCCCTTGGGAGGATCTTAAAAATGAGCCTCAGCTCTGTGGCAGCCTCCTCTGACATCATCATTTCGTTAAAGAGAAAAAAATTGACCAAAGAAGCATCAGGGCCACCACCCACTCCCTGGATTAATTCCCCCTGTGAATTTCAGACACCCTCCAGGAATCTGGCACTCAYATAAGACTTCAATATAATGTCCCCAGAGCTGGACATTAGCCAAAGGCTCATGGAGCCTCTGGATCCAATCAACAYGTGGATCCCATGTATCCTGGTATCACTGCACAACAACACAACCTATTTTCTCWGAGAACTTTTACAAGATCCTTGAAAAGCAGGAAAACCCTCTGTGTTTTGACTGTCACCTCTCACTCGATGACAAGCGAAAACAAGTGGTGCCATTTAAACAGGAAGTTGTTACAGGAAATGGCCTCAAAAATAGAACCAGGGACTGGCAGTGCAGATCCTGCTGTRTAGGAAAGCAGGGCAGGATGTTCCATGGTACCCACAAGTGCTGCCCAGAGGCCATAGGGTGCTGGGCTTGCAAACTGAGAGCACTGGCAACCTTACAAACAGGATTCCCGTCTGTAGCTTTGCCTTGGGAAAATACACAAGTGCATACCTGGTCTCCCTGCAGGAATTCATACTTAGAATCAATGAGGTGCCCCCAAACAGGCTTCACTCTCTTCTTTCCACCTTGCCTAATGCCCCAACCTTCTCCTACAAAGCAGTTCCACCACAGCAGCTGGTTAAATGTGCCTCCTGAAAACCACATCCCTACCAGTGTCCAAGGCCTGGTTGCACAGGGCSTGGAGCAACCTGGGATAGTGGAAAGTGTCCCTGCCCATGGCAGGAGGTGGGACTGGAAGGACTTTAAGGTCCCTTCCAATCCAAACCAATTCATGATTCTCTAAGACTTTGACACCAAGACTAGTCYCTCCAAGCTAAGTCAGACCTCTCATTTTCTGTAACACAGACCTTTCCAAACATAGGGCCCTAATGGATAGGGAAAAAAGATAGCCAGAGGGTGTAACCATAAATGACASTACAGGAGAAAAATGTGGCACCTTGATCCCATCTGGACATGTCTTCTCTTTTCAGCTCCTTTTCCCACACACTGGAGGGACCCACAGATCCTCCTGCTCCTTCATGCATGAACTGTGGCCACAGCCCCCAGCAAATTCCTCACCTGGGCCCCGCAGACATGACAGGGCAGCTGCTCTCCGTGCAGAACTCTGTGATGGTCCCATACAACATGTTGATCTGGTTGAAGAAATCCACAGCTGCGAAGGAAACACCTCAGGGTGACAAAATGTGAACACAAAGAGGCCGGAACACCAGATTGTGCTCGCTCGGCTGATGTGGCCTCTGAGGATCTCTGTCACAGGGTCGATGTCCCACAAGTCTTGGCAAAACCAAATGTCCCCTTCCACCCAATGTCACCTGACTTYGAGACATTTCAACCATCCAGGAATTTGGATTTCTCTGTCCATTTTTCTCTCCTGGCTACCACCCTCATCTCAGCAGCAGCATGAAGCTCCACTTAGTATTCCATGGAAGTAGCAGATTTAGTTTCCAGGCTCCTCATRAACCTGATTGATTTGATAATGCAGGAGATACCTTCCTTAGGSTGAGCACTCCTGGCCTGAATTACTAAATTCCTTGCTTAAAACTACTTTTCTCCCCCTCCAACCTCCAAAGAAGCAAAGGCCAAGGCCAGGGGGAGCAGCTGCTAAAAGCAAATTTGATTTGAAAACAGGAAACAAAAAAGAAACTCCACAATCTTGGACTTTGGTAGAAAAAGAGCTCCACTTTCTCCCYGAATTATTTGTGTTGGGATCTGTGCTTTTACAACCAACAGTGCTAATTTTCTAATTCCAGAAATAACCATTCAAAAGCCAAATCACCTTTGTGAGCCTGAACTTGTAAAAACACACCCCAAAACCACAACGGTGCAGTTTTGTCTCTTCCTTCTTGCACACCACCACTCCAACGTGGGCCCCACTTCCATTGCTTTTATCCCACCTCAGCTACGCTAACAGAGTATGCCTGGGAAATTCAGAGGTTTGTTTAAGGATATACCCCAGAATTTTGGGGTTTTCCCTCTCTCAAAGCACTCACTGTTCACTGCAATCCACTCATTAAGGTCCTCCCCCTCGGGTAGCATCACGGCCTGACGGAGGTTACCGCTGCCCAGCGTAGCCTCCGCGTGTTTGAGGAGCTCATACTGGTGGGATCCTTCAGGAATGTTTTTCTTTGGCTTGAATGTTTTTGAAGACCGACTCCCACTGACAAGGGGAAAAGCATTTCCAGTTAGCCACAGAATCATGGAATCAATAAGGATGGAAAAG